TAGTGAACTGATGATGATGACGATCGAACGCCAATTTTCTATCATTTATTTTATGTTATGCTTTTTCCACATCATAGAAATGTCTTAATCAATAAACTAACAATTTACAGAAAGTCACATATTCAATCACTGCATGCAAATGATAACTGCATAGGTGTGTAAGTAATAGCTTGTATGTTGGTAAACACATTAACAACTATTGTATTATAAAATAACTTTTACAAAAAACAACAACAACAAAATAATCAATCATACAACTATATATGCAAACTTTCAGACATTGAGAGTTTAGTAAAAAGCAGAAAGTATACTTGACAACGAGCGTTCGATTAAATTAAAATGATACGAACGATTGAAAACTTTAAATTGAACTAAGCTCAGCTCATTTCAATAAGTTGTTCTTTGGTTCCAAATGAAGAGACAGCTTATATTGATGCCTGTGCTCGCTCTTCTTGCTTATTCACTCACCCAATCGTCAGTCAATGACACTCGAAGTGTGCACGCCAGAGAACGATTGGAAGAGAGCGAGTGAAAGCAAACGACAATATTAGCAAAATATCTGCATGCATCTGAGATATCGGAACTGTTTATAAGGCGTAAAATATTCAAATTTTGATCAAAAATAACAGTGACAATTGTCCGCCAATCGTTTACTTTTCACTTATGGTAATGATAGTTTTTTAAACACAAAAATCTGCATGATACGCTACGGTGCCTAATTTGCTAAGGCACGAATCTTAACTATCCAATGCCGCTTCTTTGGAACGTTGCTTGCAAAAAAATCACGCGACAACGATTTTAAGCAAACTTATTTGAAAAAACCTATTGGGATGATATATTAATCATCCCAAAAAAGAAACCACATACTTTTTTTGCAAAGGAAAAAAAAAACTTGTATATTTAAATTAAAACCAGCGATTTCTAGAAACTTCCTACGTAGCAGTATGCATTAGTTTCTATTGAGTTATAGTAAAAGTGAATATTAATGAAAAACGTTATACAGAAATATTCGTTGTTAATTTCGAAACCAAAAAGAAAAAAGTGATAATCCATTTTTGTTAATATTGTAAATTGTAAATCCTCTTTTTAATTGCAATCTAAATATTTAGTTTTAAAGGAACAATAGTTTTCTTGTTTATATTTTTGATTATACCCATCACTGTAAGAAGGGAGTATATTCATTTTGCTTTTCTACATGATGTATGTAACACGCAAAAGGAAGCTTCAAAGAACCTATAAAGTATATATATTCTTGATCATCGTGAAATTGTGAGTTGATTTAGCCATATTTGTCCGTCTGTGTGGTGTGCGTTGCTGGCACTCTGCAAGATATCAATCCTGAATTTGGTAGAAGCATTAGAGGTTTCTGCACGCAGCTTGGTATTGAAAATGGGCCAAATTCGTAGGAGCGAAAGCGCCCAGTGAAACGAAAACTCAGTTTTTTTTACCAAGATTTTTTAGATGCTAGCTCGTTACTCGGAAATTATTAAAGTTAGAAGGGTGAAATTTTCCACGTTTATGTTAGAAAACACTCTACTCTTTAAGTATAAAAATGGAAACAATCGACCATGCCCATACAATGTTCCGTGTAATTAAATTTGGTTTTTATTACTTTTTTGAGGGTTTATTCTTATTTATCATACGGCAAACAAGACAGAATGTTTAAAACTATTTCGTACGCTCCTCAAATGAAGATATATTTTCTGCCTAAAAATGGGTCAATTTTAAAATGATTATGGCAGATACCGCGATTAATTTTTTATTAATAAAAGCAACGATATGGGTATCAAATAAGAGAACTTGGAGGGTAGGATGCGAAAACCATAGTGGTGGGTATGTGACATTCAGCCCCCTCCGAATATAACGTTCTTACTCGTTTTTGTATTCCACCGGTTTTAAGAACGAAAGAAAAATTCTTAGTGTGAAAAGAACCGCAAGTCTCGTTAATATAAAATATTTTTCCAAGGTAGATTTTTTCGGGCATGGTTCTTTCATCTTAATTGTTATTGAGATTGTAAGTATCCACAGAAAAGGTGGATTTCCCGAAGTATCTTATTTATAAAATGTAAAAAATTTTTAAGGCAAATAAAATCTCTTCTCCTAAGGCCATTTCATAAATTTTTTTAAGCAAGAACCGAGCCGAGCGCACGCTTTCAAAATTGCTTAATAAATTGGTGCGTCATTTTAAATGCCTCTAACTGGGACCACTTATCACATCTGTACAATACCACAAAAAATAAAACAGCATAAACTAGAAAAATGGTTTTGATAACAAGCGGTAAGGTTCAAGAAAGCGAAAATATCTCTTGATTAGCTTCCTATGTATACATTTTAAGGTCAATGGAATTTGAAGACCACCAAGCTTCATAAGACGCATTTCAAGTTTGAATGCTTTGTGCCACTTTTTAAATAAATTTTTTGTTCTACGCATTGTTACGAAATTTAATTAAATGCAAGAAAACTTTAAGCATTTTTCTATGTATTAGCTCTTTTGCTTTACTGGCTACAGACTTTATTCGTAAGCCAATGAATTTAGATGCATTAAACTTGCGCTTCTGCACTTTAGCCTTATGTGTTGGGTCACAAAAACTAATCAAATCTTATATAGCATGATCCCATCTAAAACATATTAAAAAAGGATCTATAAATTAATAGAAAAGTTATGCTCGCCTTAGAGTGAATCTGTCGAAGTCAACATCTCATTGAAAACAAAATTCAATTAATAAACAATATATCTATGACATCTTTGACGAATACTTCTGAAAGTAGCAAACGCCAGGATTTATCTGTTAGACCTAAATCCTTCGTGGATAGTTTTCAAAAAATGAAGCACAAGGATCAGATATAGACTAGCTCAATTAAACTTACATATAAAACAAGACGCCATTCTCATTTTTCTCTTTCATTTAAAGTATCTGTTAACCCAATAAACTTTTTGCAACTTTTTCCATCTATGGCCGTACCGTACCGTACATTTCTGTCCGCGTTAAATGATAAGTTTATCAACTTTCACTGTATGCAGTAAATGAATTGACGACAAATCTATAAATTTATAAACGAATGTAATGTAATATGTAAACGAATGCAAGGTAATAAAATAACATTATTCTTAAGGTGAAACTAAGCTTTATTATTTAAGTGTTTTGGGTCACTCATCTTCTTAGTTCCTTCAACATTAACACCACATGTCCGTGACAAATGCCTAATGTTTGCGATTTATGAAATATTATTTCACAATTCTTCATAGCGGTTTGAGCCTTTCAGCAGCTCGATCGACGAAGTGTGAAAATTTTGTTTTGCCACGATTGATAAGTTCTTGGACATTAGGAATTAGTTCATTAATTCCTAATGTCCAAATATTTAAATATTCACTAGACAATTTAATTAAATCCCCGCCTGTCCTTCCCTTCGCTCCCTGCTACTAAAATTATAACGACTGCAAAAATTAACACCGAAACATGCGCATTGCTTGAATTTTCCGATTGTTCCTTATACTAATGATTAAGTAAATAAATGTAAAACAGATCAAAAGTTGTAAATAAGTTTTTATCTATAGCAACTATTATCTACGACAAAATAGAGTTGGGTCTGCTCAATCTTTGGTCATTTAGCAATTTTTACTTAAAAACTAAGACGCGAAATATTTAAGTCCTGCAACAAGATAAACGTAACTTGTCTTGCATTCCTCATGTAGAAAGCTCATTTAGAATTTTAATAACAATCGTGTAAAATAAATAAATGTAAAATAAAAAAAGATGCTCGGCGGAGTTTTCATTTCAATTCGATCGGGTGACAAAAATGCTCTAAAAAGTGGAAGGAAAAGGAAAATTTGGAACCTGTCGGGAATATGTAATGAAAACAATAACACTGTCGTCACTTTACACACTGATTAAACAAAGACAATGACCTTCTTTTCATTAAATGAAAAAATAAACAATGAAATGAAGCTTCGCACGTTATAATATGATGCGCCTGTATGTTTAGTGTAATAATTACTGCTTTATAAGTGACATTGTAAACAGATGGTATTCATTTTGGGGGCAAGCATCCGAGAAATGAGAATCTACAAATATTTCACTTGTCACATTAGTAACTCCATAAATTCCCAATTTAATTTAACTATAACAAGGTCACACGAAAATGCCAGACTCCCTTTTTATAAAAGTATACCATACCGGAAGTTTATGTCATTTTAATGTTCTAATAATTTCATTTGCGTTTACATGCTTTTCCAATGGTGGGAATTGAGTATTCACTTGTATAGATTATTATTGTTATTACGCGAAATGTGGGCTGAAAAACTTATGTGAAGCGTTGTTACGTGTATTTCAAACCAAATTTTTATATAAGCGTTCAGTTGCCACTAGCTAATTCTCAATCTTCGGGCGGAAATTTTTTTTGTTAAAGGGAAATTTAAAGACCACGTTAAAATTCTAAACTGTATGCATAACAATTAAAATGTAATTAAGAAATGAAAAAGAAATATTCAGAAAGAATTTGGAAGTAAATTTGTTGTAAGATTGTCTAAATAGCCGAAAGGCAAACCGACAAAAGATGGACGTTAAGAAAGGAATACTTATGGGTCTTTTATCGGAAGAGAGCACTAAGAAGCGAGTTTAAACAAGGTTCTGAAGTGATGTAAGCAGCGAATGGCAGCGGGCAAATATATTTATTTATTTTGCCTAAAAATACGTACAGAATGAATAGTTTTCATATCTCATAAATATTTTTTAATCAATTCCCTTTGATGGCCAAAATGAATTATAGTATAGAAATAAGCTTACATTTGGAATTCAAAATATCAAAACGACTTTAAACACACAAATCTTTATTTGCGTTAGGTGTAAAATCGTTAGAACTTAGAACACAAGTACCCCTATATAACAAAAAAAGAAAAAAGATATTTAAAGTTGTTTACTAACAAAGCCTAAAAGTATACCTCTCGTACCTAAAGCGCTCAAAAAATTAATGTACTTTTTTTTTTAAAGTCAGATTATTACCTTCATGCATGTCATAAAACTCAGCTACCAATTTTTCATCATTTCCCAGCAATTCTTCGGTTAGATCCATACCATGTTTTAACTCGATGTTATCGTTAGAAATTATTGTAATATCTTAAGGAATCAAAATATAAGGTAATTTACAAATCACTTTAAGGTAGTTAAATAAGTTGCTTTGTTCATTTTTAATTACCATTTGCAAAGTTTTCGCCGCTAATCCAGCTTCCATTTAACTCATCATAAATGGAGAAAAGCTCACTAGACGGCGGTGATGTAGGCTTGAATTTTCCGTCCCAATACAAGTCCCGTGGCAAGGCTAGAGACTCCATTGTTGGCAAATCGTTTATATTGTAAATAGTTAGGGCCGTTGTCATGACCGAATTGAATTTCATTTTTGTTACTTGAAGATGTTATAGAGAATGTTGTTAGTGTTAAACTTGATTGAAAATATAAGGAGTCTTGTCCTAAGAAAACGTTTTCTAAAGTTGGAGGAGCCATGGCGGCCCTGTAAAAGAGAAAAAAGAAAAATAATTTAAATCTTACACATTTAACTCTGAAAATTAATAAATTTAAACGGTCAAAGCATCTCTTTATTATTTATTCGCTTGATCACAAACAAAAGAAGTTGAAGAAATTGTAGACGTTCCTCTTTAAAACCCAAGAAGATTTGAACAAAAAAATTCATTTCTATACTTTCAGCTGTAAGACTCTGACTTCAAATCTGGATAGTCTAAAAGTGTGGGCGAATTTGCTCGTGAACAGGTCCAAATGATAAAAATATTTCACATACTTTATTGAACTTGGTTAACAGGCACATTCTAAATGATTGTTAACTCAGTTTTAATCAAAAAAATAATTTTTTATCTCTCAAAAGAAAAGTAATCTTAATACGACCTTTTTCTTGATAAAGTAATTTTCTGTCCTAAACGGGCAAGTAAAGATTATTCAACAAATATAAAGGGCAACATTAGTCATCGAAGAAGCAAAGCTTGCCTCTCCTTACCAACATTCCACCTCCTGGCGTATACATCTCCATTGCCAATCCTGACCATTTTGCAAAATAAAATATCCAATAATAATATATACTTTTATTGAAGTTTATTATGTACATTTTCACAGTTATAGTATTTCGATTATTGCGTTGGGTCAGTAACAGCCTCAGCACGTTAGAACGTTGTGTACTTTGATCATTCCTTGTGTTATGCTTATCATTAAAAATTTGTACGTTTACATCACTCTTTGCCTCGTCTCAGTACGAGTTCAAGGCTAAACTCATGCAAACAAGTGTATGCAACGTTTTTAAAAGCAAAAGTGCGCTTCAATTTTTGAGTCGTTACAAAAGAAACAAACAGAAAAGAAGACGTGCAAAAACGATTTAAATATAATCTTAGGTCGTGACATGGCGCTGGAATAGATTTAAGCACTTTAATGGGTGTAAAATATTGTTTGGTTTGTTGTCAAAGTTTCATCTGAAAATTGAAATAATTTCAAGGTCAAAGCTACTTTTAATCAATTACCAGAACAGCTGTTCTGCAGAGACAGCTGAATAGATACCTACATCATGCCTTCCAAGTCTTATTATTCACATTTTTTCTTGAAACCCTTCGGTACCAAATTTTAGAGATTCTTAAGCAAATTTTCTCTAATTTCAAACCCTACATCGTTTCTGACATTGATGTTCATACAAAAATGCCATTTCATATGCATTTTAATCTTCTTCGTTGTAGTAATATACTAAGTTATTGCGGTTTTTATATGACTACATCCATCTTTTATTATGTTAGTCGATTTTAAATCATTTTCTGCATCGATCTAAGCACATGCGTCTGCGTTCGCTTCGTTTTTATGGTCAGCGTCCATTGCCATAAATTTTCACGTCTATCTATCCCAATAGACATTGAAGCGGACCACCGATAATTATTAAGATTATTATTGCGCAAAATTTACTAACGGCAGAAGATTAAGAGAACACAACAACTGGAACAAATGGACAAAGCTAGAACTGACAACAATTTGCACCATAATAACGTTTTGTTTGCAATTTGCTATCATGTGTAGCAATAACGGTGCGTAGACATAAACTCCATGTTTCAAATAAAGCAAAAATATATATATTAGTAAAAATATTTTATCAAATAGAAAAAATTATTAAAAAGTGAATACGTCAACTCATTTCGGAATACCAACGAAAAAGTAATCGTCTACAGCACGTGACTGAGCTTTCTACTAAAGAACACACTTTTTTATTCACACATAGACCTAATAGCAAACTTGAGGAATAAATAATAACAATCAAGCACAATATTTTTTATTAAGTATACATCAGTTGGTTGGTGCGTAGCAGACTGATGGTGCTGATTAAAATATGTACGCACATGCAAAAATAAAATAATATTATTTGATGGGCATGAGCAAGGGCATGGGCATGGCATTGTAATAGTTTGTTTAGTTTAACAGATGGAATCGGGGAACACCTATCACGTCTATATATTCTTAATGAGCATGATATCTTATCTGTCAAAGTCGTTGCGTCGCTATTTCTATGCGATACTGACAGTTTGAAAAAATTGTTGTAGAGAATTAAGCTATTTCAACAAGCCTTTATCTGATTAGGATTCGTTCATAGAAAAGGCTCAATAGGTGAAAGGACAAAGCGCTCTGTAAGTACTGAAACTTTAAAAATTTAATCGCAGATACCTTATCGCTTACAACAAGCATATACGAGAGATATACAAGTAGATTGAGGTAAGCCAGAGTTCTTAGGTACCTTTTTACATTCTTTTAGAACCAGTAACTTTTTAAAAATTATTAATTGTAGTTTTCATAATAAATGTATACACTACGCTTCGCAGCGTTATGTAAGCAAGGAAATGACTTCATTTGACGACGCAAAGAATAATTTGTTTTTTAATTTTGAGCCTGACAATAGAGGTGTAAAATAAGTTTAAGAACTGTGACGTTGGTGTTTATATCGCATAAGTTTTATTTGTTAAAAAACTTTGCTCAATGTATACCAGAACACAAAAAGATAGATTAATAAGCAAAATTTACGGCACTGCATGTTATTCTGTTTTATAATGGAAAAAATGCACCATTAAGCTACGGAAGCAACTAATTAATAAAGTTGGCTTGGAAGCGGGGACTCCATTCAGTGGCATTGCAAAAAAAATTATTTAGTACGAACTTCTAAAGCGAAAGTTAAATTGGGAAAAAGAAACAAGAAAAGTGGTTTCCCTTCATGACAACTTGGGCTGGCAGTTTCTCCCGATTGTGGTTTATGGCCCATGATTGTTTCTGATTGCCGCTTGCTCATATTAACGCAGTCATACTTAGCAGATCAGCCGTTCACACAAAGTTAAAGAAGTGCTGAGTCAGCAACCACTTCGTCTCCGAATTACGAAGTGTCCATTACGGGAATATATTTCAATGTATATATAAATGTGAATTAAATAAGCGAAATTAATAAGTGCAATTTCAATTATAACAAGCAAACAAGTTCTGGTAGCCACAGACAAATATTCAATAACACTTCGGCTGACACACTTATCCATTTAAAGATTTTTCAAAATAAGACGCTTTAGAGAAAGTTCTCAAAAAAATGGCCCGATCCGCACCATTTTTAATACCACCCTTGCCCAAAACACATCGATGTGTGAAATCTCATCAAAACAGTTCAAAAATTGCCAACTGCACAGAGAGACATATACAGACAAGAAAAAGTTTGAGAGAGGAATTTGAACTTCAATTAATGAAATAATGACAATTACATTTTTCTTGCACCCACGATGAGAAAATATCAATAAAAACACAATAGAAATTAAACAGAGAAAATAAATGTAGAGAAAGAAATTCTTTCAAAATATGACTTCAAATTTTATTGATATGAGATGATGAACTGGTTTACAATGACGTAGTTGATAAACTATTCGCGAGCAAAACATTATCGCGATGGCCACCTCCAGTTACCGTTGAGACTGTAGACGTAACTACCACGTTGAAGACAACTTAAAAGAAACTCTTAGACTATTAAAAGAAACTATTCTACATATACAAGTATTCGTTTATTCTTCCTTGAAATAAAATCAGAGATTGTTGACTTCAACGTCGGTTCCGCAAACGTTCAAACCGTAGAAGTACTTAACAAAAATTGTTTATTACTTGATATTTTTATTTCTAAATAACTAATAGCCACAATTGTAAATTGGCATCGTTCTCCCTTTGCTCTGTATTCACAATAAACAAAAAATTTTTTATTCTTGCAAATTACTTTTAGTCAATTACTTTTCGTGCTATATGATGTGATCCACAAAACAATTCTTCACCGAACCCCATCGTTTGTCTTGACCAAAAGTTTGAAAGTTGGTTTTATATAGAGCTTCTACTATTTTAGCAGTTTTTAGGAAATTATGCCAGAATATCAACGACCTGTATTTACTTGCTCGCGTTGTCAGTCGTTATAACAACCAGCGTTGTTTTATAAATATGTGTGCCAGTGATTTTCGAACCATCGCTCGTATAAATTACAATTGGAAAAAGTACAATCAACAATTTTCTGTATGTACACAAAAGTGATATATGCTCAAAATTGCTCCGTTGGCAAACCAGAAACCAGAAATATGGCTAAAATGAAGTTCGCAAATGTGCTAGCACAAGTCGAGTGCACATTGGAAAACAATATTACAGTTTTAGAATTACTAGTTGCATGGTTTTGTGTTGCGTCAGCTATTTTCTCGAAGGGTTGATTTAGACATATTAAAAATCTAATGTTTGCAATCTATTTATTAAATTTAACAAATTATATAGTTAGTAGTCTGTTTCCTTGAAAGAAGAAAACTTCACTCCAAATTTTATAAAAAAAAAGTCAAGTTACATGTTTTCATAATTTATAAGTCTTACTCACGTTTTATTTGTTATTTTCGCTTTCATTAAGAATTTTTTCATGCTTACGCGCTTTGCGCTGTTGTATGCTATTGTGCAAATTATACTATATATCCATTTTCACCTTAATATAAATGCATAAAACACACCGTATAATAATTTGCTCTTTTTACGTTTCATTGGGATAATGCTAAACATTTTAAAATTTTTTTATTGAATTACCTTTCAAGTGGGTTGCTTCTCTTACAAAATTCAATCCTATATTAGAAAAGGGATTTGCGTGATTTAAATTTGGTAGCACTTTAAAGTGTAAGGGGATGACAGATTGGTTACTGCCACAATGAAACTTATTTGAGCCTGGGAATAAAATCTGAGCATATGGATAGCAAGTTAAGCGATCAAGCGGCCCACTCCGAAAAAGTTTCTAACTTTTAAGAAATTATGTGGAAGTCGGCAAATCACAGATTATAAATATCATCAAGCTTGGCTTATATTATTACAAATTAACTAACCAAGTAGTTGACAGATTAAAAGCCGCGCTTGGCTTCCTCATCAGATAATTTTAGAAGAATGAATAAACAAGTCTAGGTATATTCCCAGGGCTGTGAGAGGAGGTTAAATACATTTTTCATAAAAGGGATATGAATTTAGTTTATTAATGTCTATAAATATTATCTACGTAATATTATTTATTTATTTAAAATTATACCAAAAGCCCTTCAAGAGGTACATATGTATAACACGAATTCAGAATTTCAATTCAAAAGCATTGTAGATGCAGACGATAATCCTACTATACAACTTAAAGTTATGCATCGCAATTTATATAAAAAATTTCGTATTTTCACTTTTCACTTTAAAGATTACAATTCGCAATTTACAATTTATGGGCATGTATGTATCTAGTGGGTTTAAATTTGAGATCTTTAGGTCTTTAAAGTTTTCGAGGTGAGCGAATGCAAATAATTATTTATTGGGCTGGGTGAAAGGGATACTAACTAGAACCACTTTTAGTGTCGTCTACTTACCCAATGGGAATATTAATTTCTTTGAAACTACCCATTGTAGGGTGTTTCCAAGGTACTCTAGAATAATTATTGTCAGGGACTTCAATTTTAACTTTTTCGATCCAACTAAGGTGAATCTTATTAGCTTACTCTGATATATCCCTGTCTCACAACTTTAAACCTGCTCATTAGGATGTAACGCATTGAACAACACCTTCGCTTGATTTCTGACTGCGGAATGACGGTACCTTGCCCAACCAATCTGCTCAAGAGCCATGCACTTTTATTTTTCATCACGTCTTAATCTTTGTTCGCTTTAGTAACAAATGCGAAAATGTCACTCCGTATTTTGAAAATAGAGGCTAAAAAATATTGATTGGGATGGGCGGTCTTTATACATTGCTAACTTTGCCTCAATTACCCTCTTTAGAACCGCAAATATTGAGTTTGAGCTTTTAGGTTCCTTATTTAAATCGTTATACAACTTTGTGCCGGTTGTCAAAAAAAGTCACCAGAAGAGTTGGTAAATGGATGAAATCAACGAATATCAGAATAGCAATGACCTTGCAGCAATAGGATTGCGTCACTGTTGGTTATCGATTCGCTAGACTTTCGATAAACTTATTTATTTCTTTCTCTTGAGCATACAAATAAAATGGATTCTTTTATAATTCTTCAAATGCTTAACTTTGGTTACTGTCGGGGACCAACGGGGAATTAAAAAAATAACTTAATTTATTTTATTAATTTAAGTGCCTATTAATTAATTAAAAAGCATGTTAAATTTATATTGCACCACATGCACTGAATTTTTTTCACTAGTCGATGCGCCATATTTCAATTCATTGTCAGAAAATTTACAATTTTTAATGATCAATTTGTGAAAATTTTCATTTATTTATTTTTATTTACTTACACATGAAACTCAGCTAAAACAAATTAACGGTCGAATTCAATTGACTCTTAGGAGTAAATTTTATGGTAATTAATATTAAAAGCTATTATATAAGGAGAAATAAGGATAAAAGAAAAAAATATGTAAATAACAATTGTTAAATAATAATTCATGTGTAAAGAAATAAAAAGGAAAAAATGCATGTATGCTTCTAGCACAGAGGCACACCCACAACCAGTGCAGAACCAAATTGCAAATGAATCCCTAAACAATCGCAAACATGGAGAAGTTTGGTAACCTATAATACAATTAATTTTCGACTCACAATCACTTTTTAAAGTTAAAATTTAGTTCAAGTACGACGTAGGTAAATTGAGCGTATTCAGCTATGTTCCTTTAATGGACTTTAAAGAGTGCGTTAATGAGAATAAGTGATAAACGTCATTTAGGTTCTTGCAAACTACTCTGAGCGGATTAAACAGCTCATAACTATATTTACATTGACTTAGCTGAATGTGCACAAAGTGCCCAGAGAAACGTGTGAGCACATTAAAGCTTATCTCACCAAGTAATGTGGGTGAAACGACACTACCATTAATTAACTTAATTAAGAAATAGACACCAAGAATAAATCGAAGTTTCTCAAGGTAATGATAACAAAAGCAACCTATTTCCGTAAGTAGGCAGAGAGACAACCGGATCCCAATCCAAAATCCTAACAGCAAACAACAAGAATTGCTTACCCAGTATGTATTTATACAGATTTTTAGAATAATTTTGTGCATTCTTTTCGTTTAATTTTAAATAAATAAATAACATTAAGTAGGTAATATTTATACACTATGAACTAAATTTTTATCCCATTTTATGAAAAATTTATAATTTAAGCTCCCCCCACTACTATAACTAGATTTGTTTATTCTTTCTTCTAAAATTATATGGTAAGAAAGCCAAGCGCGGCTTTCAATCTGTCAACTGTCAATCTGGTTAATTAATTTCTAATAATATAAGCCAAACTTGATGGTATTTATAGTCTGTGATTTGCTGACTTCTCTATAACTTCTTAAAAGTTAGAAACTTTTTCGGAGTGGGCCGCTTGGTTGTGCTCGTTTAAATTGTTTTCCGTATGCTCAGCTTTTATTCCCAGGCTCAAATAAGTTTTATTGTGACAGTAGCCATTGTGTCATCCCTTTACATTTTAAAGTGCTATCAAATTGAAGCCATGCAAGCCGCTTCTTTAATATAAGATTGAATTTTGTAAGAGAAGCAACCCACTTCAAAGGTAAATCAATAAAAAACACTTTTAAAGATTCAGTACATTCCTAATGAAACGTAAGAAGAACAAATTATTATGCTGCGTATTTATGCGTATAATTATCCGGCATCCTTTAAAATCCATATTTTTCAAATTTATTTACAAAATATATAGGCAATATACAAATATATTATATACGTATAATTTGTCAGAAAGCGTTCAAAGTCAAAAAAATTTTCGGGTTGAGCGGCTTGTTTATGTTCGTTTACGTTGCTTTCGATATATTCAATTTATATTTCCAGGATTGAAGGCAAAGCGAAGCTTCATTATCTCACCAGATATAGTGAAGCATTATTTCCATTTTTGGTTCCAAATGGTCAACACAATAGAAAAATGTTATTTGATAAAAAGTAAAAGATACTATATAAGTGATAATAAATGGTTTGAAAAGTAAAAAGCAACAATAACAATAAAAAAAGTAAGGTAAAAACGTAAATTTTTTAATGGATAATTAAAGTAAAGAATTAAGAAAATGGGTTTCAAAGAAGAAGCTTAAAGGCGAACAGCGCTGACGCAGTTGAATAAAGAAAAAAATTCCTGAAATGTTTTTATTTGAAAATTATGCATTAAATTGAGAACAAATTGCAAATTCATATTAAAAAGAAACCTTAAATGAATGCATAAACAATTTAAAAACTTAAACGTTGCATTAAATTCTACGTTATCTTCACGTCTTATTTTTCATTTATTTGTTGTCTTTTTTTTTGTACACAAACATATGATTTGCCAATTCCCAGAAAGTAGAGGAAAAAGTCGGCATACCGAAAACAGAAAATATACATAATCGTGTCATCTCTAACACACGAACAATTCACTATAAACAGTGATATCAAAACTCAAAATGTGTCACAATTTCGAAACACATCAAACGTTTGTTGATAAAATCATATTAATTGTGTTAATTGTATAATGAAAATCGACGTTCAAAGCACAATGTTTGCATTATTAACAATAATTAATAGTATAGGCCTTGCAGTCATTAAGATTTCAAATAAAGTGAAACAAAACGATTAAAAAATACTCAACAAGAAAAACACGGTGTATTTAGTTCTGAAAGCGCTATGTTTACACTATTAAAGAAATTGAAACATTAGACTAGATTTACGGTAAAGGAATTTTTTTTACGAAAATATTCAATAAATGTAATTGGAGAAATGAAATTCAGTCTTAGGAATTATGCGAATTAATAACAAATGAAGTAAACAGCGTTAGTCCATCTCTGTTCAACATACCAAAAAAAAAAAGAAAAAGTAAACAGCGGGTGTTGCATCAACATTAAAAATATTGGAATTACGTTGTTATCAAAATGTGAAGCAATGAAGTGTCAACATCAAACTAACTAACCTGTGCTCAATTTTGACAATATAAAAGCGAAAGTATAAGTTTTTTTTAAAAAGTTATAAAAATTAGAGATTATAAAAAATTCCACTTAAATTTGGTTATTCATATAGCTCGTTAAAGTATTACAGCATTAAAGAATTATCTGTAACAACTCAAACTTTATGAACTATTTGATTGCGATCTACACATTCATTCGTATCTCCTCTTTGTGTAAAACAACATCGTGACAAATTTGTGGAACAATACTGAACGATAACAATTTAAAATACTTGCGTTTTATAGAAAATTGGAAAAAAAGCGAGAAATCGAGTAATAACATGTGATTCTGATTTGCATTTTCATATGAAAATGCGCTGATTATTTTAATGTTGCAAATGCTTGAAAAAGAATTATATTCAGAGAAGACCCTTTGCAAAGGATCTTGAAAAATTCAAATGTTCTTAATAATATATATGCATCCGGTCAGATACTTTGTTGCTGTCAGGCCATAAGAATGAACATACGCACGTTCTTCTCCGAGCTATTTAAAAACAGAATTTGATGCATATTAAGACAATTATCCCTTCGATATTTCTATGAGCAACTGAAGTGGTAATTTCAGTAACCAGCTTTTTCATTCTTAATAAGGATTTTCTGCTTTCTGGAAGAAATATTACCCCGCAACTAAATTTTCATGTAATCTAAGTTAATTCACTATCCTAGGCTTATACAATGTAGTGGTTTTCCGTTCTTCGTAAAGAAAAACTTAGCTTGAAAGCTGATATTGATCTAAGTGGTTAAATCAATAGGTAGTAGGTGAACGCTAGGCAAAAAGTTGTAACATAAAAACTCTCGTTGGGTTTAAAGATAGAGCGTACGCACAAATACATCGGAAATCGGGAAAATTCCAGCATTCTATAAATGTCAAACCCTAACGAAGTCGATTAAAGTTTGGGATTGATCGTCATCAATTCTTCGTATTATTCTTCACATTCTTTCCATTTTTACTACGTATACTACGCTGTCGTAAAGATGATTTATTATAACACAATTACAGAAGTAATAATGAACTGATAACGAGCTAGAAAAACATTTTCGAAAGGAAAAAAGAGGAGAAAACAAACACGACAAAATTAAAATGAAGAAGAGATAGACTATAAGAACCAAAATGGGAAAAAAGTGAGCGCTGGCTGCTCTCCATTCCCTTATCAAAACCTACATAATCAATGGTACTTATCACTTAAAATTCGATTTGTATTGTTTTAGTGTACTGTTTGAAATGGAAAGGAAAACATCGACAAGAACCGCTAATCGCATCAATCATATTTTTTTCAACTGTGATAGTATAGAGTGTTATTGTTATTTGATATCGTCAAAAATGGTCAGTAAACCCTTAATCCGCAAGTGTACATAGTGTCTGTTAAAAAATAATTATAAATTAAAGATAAAAATGAAATGATTTGATTAGCGGATTGAATAAACATTTCAAAGTTTATTTTGTAAATATTGTTTATGTTAATCAACGTACGAGCGCGGGCATGTAATATAATACCTATTAATCTGTAAGCCTAACAACAGCAAAAATTTTCGAATTCTCTTGTTTTTGAGTGAAAATGTCGAACAAATTTGAAGGTTATCAGTCTTCGACCACTGTAGTGAATGCCAGTATGCCTGCCAAAAGTGTACCCGCGAATTTTTCAACGGATTCAAATTCATCCGTTTCCTCTGTGTCAGCCAAAGCTGAACGTGAATCCATTCATTCGGGTCAGTTTATGGTTTCAACCTTTGAAGCCGAAGAAACCCAAGACGATTTGGATGATGGGGAAGTGAAAATGCTTGATCCAGAAGATCCAAGTCTTTCAAAACTTGACGAGAGCAATACATGTCTAGAAGTGCAGTTGTATGTACCACGTAAGGTCATCCAGCAGCATAAACAAGATGGTAATTCAATAGGCTTGATTACTTCACATCTCGAAATTGAAACTTCGCTAACCAAGCTGTTCAAATGCATGGACTTAACCTATAGGTAAGCTTCTCAATATGTTTAATATCTTTCAATATCTTTTGATTTCAATGAAACAAAGTTCATTATTATTTCGGCTGGTAAGATTCGCGGTCTTCTTTGTATATATATTTAAGGAACTTGCTACAGTACAACTTAAAATATGGTAAATGGTAAGCAACAACTCTCTGACCTCTTGCATTGGAAAAAGTGGCTGGCGGAAAGAATTTTAAATTTTTAAGGGCATCGTAACGATTGGTACAAATTGCAGTTAAAACCTTCTTGCTTTATGCATTGGTCTTAAAAAATGTCAACTTCATCTACACTTTTAAGTACAATCTATCGGGCGGATTTTTACAAATTTCGATTGATTTAGAATTATTTTTATACCCATCTGAAGGATGAAGGGTATATTCATTTTGCAAAAATGTTCGCAACGCCCAAAAGGAAGCATCAGAGAACCTTCATAGTATATATATAGATTTTAGACCAGCACCAAATTCAAAATCGATTTAAGCATGGCTGTGTAATGTCTGTTGTAAACATTCTCCTATTATATATATATATATATTATTATTATTAAAAAAATGAAAATTTTGTTCTTTTACTTTTTTTATCTTTTTTAGGATAAGAGTGATTGGCATAGAATATCCGGTCCTGACCGAATTTAATTTTCTTACTTGTCTATATTTACGTTAATACGTCTTCAATAATTCCCTGTTTTACTGACAAAGACATTGATTCTAAGAAAAAATACTTTCTAGATTTGGATAGTGCCAATCCTGAAAGGACGCTTGTCACAATTTCGTATAATTTCTCTCTGTGGATTACAAGCAGCATTCCTTCAGCGATTTACCACTGTTATTTTCGGATATACCGGATCATTTCGTACGTTAATGCGAAAAAACCCTTTTAAAGTCAGCGTTGACTCGAAAGTGCTAATCTTCTCGCTCGAAAACAATAATTCGCCTTTAGTTATCATGAAAACCCCAAAAATTATTTTCGATAATCGAATAATGATGTTGCAAAGGATTGCTGCTATCTTAAACCTATTCTTTTGTACAAAAATTACGGCATGAAAAAGCTATTTTCTATTGAAAGAAAAGCAATGCGGCGATCCTTTCTGCAGACGTAAGTTTTCATGGGAGTAGATTAATATGTAAAACATGCCCTATGTAGGCATGCTGGATGAGACAAAGGAAAAATTCGTGGGTCTATAGAAATGAGGGTAGGATTACATTTTCTGACAAAAAAGAGCCAGTTGCTTTCACAAGATCAGACGCTGCTTTCCAAAATATATATATTAATTATTAGTAATATTTCGTTATGGTACTCTTCAATCAATTTGTTCTGTACATAGAGAGACATCTTTAATTTAAACATCAATTTCGACTTCGAATTGCTTACCGTTAGCGCTAATTTCGTTCTTTATCTTCTAGTCAAAAACTGACATCTCCGAAATGGAATCACTTCAAAGGGGTACGTTTACGTTGGAAAGATAAAATCCGATTAAATAACGTTATCTGGAGGTGCTGGCACATGCAATGTAAGTTTACAATAACTGAAACGGCAAGTATTCGCTTCTTTGGCTAAATACTAGTTTCCTATCATATAAGATAAGCATACAAAAATCACTTATGACCGTTTAGATTGGCTAGAGAAGATAATATTTTCTAATTTTCAAGGTTCACTTTTTTCTCACTACCATTCGTAATCTTTAAGTTTGTATCTGTGAAACAACTAGTTGTACTATTTCTGCCTTAATTTTGAGATCCTAAAAAATTCATTATCAGACCGAATGCCCTAGAATTAATCCTTTATAAAAAGATACGAAGGTTTTTTAAAACTTATTTCAAAGTAAGAACAGAATGACAAGACATAGTGGTGGAAAATGGCCTTCCTTATAAAGACATTAATTTCCTTAATTGTAATATAACAATTAATTGATATTGTAGCACTTATAACGTTCACATATAGACTCGCTGACTTTTAAGAATTGTAACGTTTCTGCGGAAAAAGTGACTTCAACCCTTTGCACTCCGAGTGTTTTTTACTCAAAAGTGCGACAACTTCGTGACATTTTTGTGTTGGAGCATCTGAAAAATGAACTTCTGTTGTACTAAAAAAAAAAGAAGATCTGTTGTTATAAATTTATTTATTTAATCAATGTTGTTTGTGATAAAAGAAATACTATTTGATATTTATATTTTGTAATTCAACTTAGTGTGATATTTGTGAAAACAATCTCCCATATGATGATATATGCATCCGTGGCTTATTTGGCCATGTGTCACAATATTCGGTTGTTTCCCGTCTTCCGGAATTGCCTTTGCGCTTAGAACATACTAAACATTCTTTTTTTGTACCTCTTCGGAAATGCTGCTGCAACTTTTTTTTGTGCGTTTCACCCGGAAACTGCCTATTAGTTCATCGACCAACTGTTTCACAAATTTCAAGTGTGTTTTTAGTTTTTGCCCCTTCTGTTTTTTAATAGTTTTATAGAGGATATACGGATTGATTATACATATTTCCATCCCCCAAAAACTAACTTTCGCCACCACTTGAGAGATTTTCTTAGGAAGCAATAAGTTGATCCATATTGATCAGCCCGATCTACACCGCCCATTGAATGTGTCGAGCACTACGTTAGGTTTACTACTATTACTTCTGACCCACCTTGAATATATCTCTTGGTAGATGTCATTCCAGTATTATTCCAGGTACTCAATAAAGTAACAACCGTTTCATCCTTCCAAGCTAACAGTGTTATATTTCCTTTTCTTTTAGCAACAGTTGTTTGATTTTCACTAACATCAAAACTTTCCCAATAATCTCCTTCTTCCATGTGTTCTCAAGCGTAAACCTGTCTAATATAAAATAAAATTCAAAATTCGCTAGTCATTGAATGCAATGGCGCAATAGTAGCGCCTACGGAGTGCAAAGGGTTAAGGTGAAAGGGGCGAATAGTTCACATTGGAGATTTCAATGAAAAAAATCTATCTGTCTATCTCTAATGATTTCAATGGTTATTAATTAATTACAGATGGAGCGCGAGCTGGGTGTTATTTCAACTTAGCAATGGTTAAATGTGCGGCGAACTTCATTTGTTTAGAAAAAGTTTGGAAATCATAATGCCAAAAAAAGCAATAATTCCTAATAACTATGTGTTGCAGGCATTTGAATTTCCTTGAAGCAAACGGAAATGCTAGGTAGTTAATAGATTAGAATTGTGCGGAATCGAAAGAAATAAGTCAAAAACTTGATCATTAATTTTTAAACCGTTTTAGATACGTTCTTGCAAGCATAAGTATAGAAGACAATCAAAGTTTTCGACCGAACTAATAATAAAAACAAGTGAAAGTATGAAATGCCTTATACCACTGCGTAATATATACTGTTATTCATATGAAGACTTTTCAAACCAAGGCGTTATATGGCAAGTAGTCGAAAAAGTGGTTTGATCCAAAGCACTTTCTTTCGTTGCGCGTTCATCCTTGGGCCGAAAATTGTAAACTGTAAGTTGAACGCAAGAAAATCAGGCGGACAGACAAACATGCGGAAGCTTAGATCGATTCGGAAAGTGACTCTGAAGCGATCGGTATAATAAAAGGTAGTCTTATCTGAAGCCACTACATCCCCACTAACTTAAAATGTCCTTGTACCACAAGTGGTATAGGGTATACAAAAAGTGATCCAGCAGATATAAAAGCTAATCTTCCGTTAACTCTATGTAAAGTAAAAATTTCAACAATTACTTAATTAAAGTACGTATCTAACTCTGTTGTGGATCACGTAAAATCCTAATTGCGAATCGAAGGGGTAAGAAATGGCACTAGCACACCCACCTCTAATTGCAATTACTGTTGCTTTTAACGATTTCATTTAAATTTATATATTTGTAAACTTTTGCAAATTGATTAAAATGTCAAATATGTGTGAGTATGAGAATTATCAGTTAGTTACACTTATCTTCTTTTTTTTTTTGTTTGATTAGTTTACAATTTCTTTATTAGGTCTTTTAGACATATTCTTAAATTTAGTTCGCGTTTTTGCAACAAACTGTTAGTTCTCGTCTTAGGTGCTTGAATATTTTTAAGGTGATCTGTGTGTTCACCTAGAGTACTTTAATTCATTCTTAAGTTGGGAATGTGGGATTATGTGGGAGCTAACACTTGCTATCTGCTTCGAACGGTTCGTTTGCTGTTATTATTTCAGTGAATCGAAATTTTTGTAATTATAGTCGTCATTTTTTCTTTTAAATTAGTCAGGAATTAATCGGGAACCGTTAATTGAAAAGAGAAATAAAAAACAAGAAAATAACAGTTCAAAATTTCAATTTTTTTCCTAAATTTTTAATATTTCCTAAACTGTTAGACCTAAGTTTAAAATAAAATAAAAACAACATGCAAAAAAAAAAGAAATTAGTAAAAGAAATTAAAACTGGTAGAGCCGTGTCGGTAATTTGTTTTACTGTTTTTGTTAATATTAAGTGTGACTGTGAATGTAAGGTTGTTTTATCGTTAGCAAAAACAAAATAATCAAAAAACAAATAAACATGTTGCGACGAATGTTCTGTTGGAATTCTTCGACAATGTCGTTGCAAATATTCAAAAAACAGCAACTTTTAAGGTTATCTAATAAATGCATACATTTGATTTAAAGATTATTGAATCTTGTTCTATATGCATGTATGAATCAAGTTCAAAAATAAAAAAAAATTGATTTATTCATCATTGTGTCTTTTAACATTTACAGTTATTCTTAGACGTAGAACTCCAGTCTGTCAATTCGCTTCGCCTCTAGATGTGGATATTCACAGCAATCCGCAGGTAATGATATCAAAAGGCAGTCAAGTTACGCCAACTATCTAAAGTTCAAAAAGCCCGCTATCAAAGTGAAGGAATGAGGAAATGTTTAATAACAAAAAAGGACTATTTTTAGCATTCGTTTTTTATATTTATTTTTACTGCTTTCTCTACATTTATTTTTATCATTCCCTCTTTTGTAAATCTCTTTTTGATTTTTCCATTCCCTTAATCTAACGAATTGCCGTTAGAATTAAAAATACGTTCACCAGTTATTATATCCTTAATAATAAGGTGAAGACTTGCAATGTATTTGCCGACATTTTATTTGAATTATTTTTTCAACTTCTTCTTCACTCCTATTTACCGGTGAAAAAGACGACGAAAATTAAAGCAAACCACAAGAAGGATAACAGCTTTAGAAAATTAGTAGAGAACTCGAAAAATATGATATGTATTTCTTAAAAAGATTCATATTATTAATGGTATTAAAAAATTCTGCAGTAATTTGATATCATAAGCAATTTTAGGCACGCAGTGAACCAAATTCTATCTCCAAAAACTATGGTAAGTTCTCTTTCGGCGTGACGCAAGTTGTGTTTACTTTTGTCAATGTTTTCAAAATTATTTTTTGTCCAATTGGACAACGATTAGAAAATTTTTAGTTGGGTATGACGAATGGAACGTTAAAACCGATTCCGAATGTTAAATGTGGACTATTGAAAACACAGCCTTAGTACCATAGTATTTCATAGGTTTTATCGTAAGAGTTGGCTGGCAATGGCTGATTGCATCTTTAACTTTTTAAGGATTAAACCTGTCCCCCACCTCAAGTTTACGTAAATACCCTGAAAATGTCCATTAGTCAATGTTACGTTCAATCTCTGAAATCATCGCATGCAACTATCGGAATCTTTTCAACCAACTAAATTGGAAAGTATTTGGGAAACTAAATTTTGCCAATATAATTTTGAAAAGGAAATATATTCCTTGCCTTTTAACCATTGTGTCTTGTCTTTCAAGTACTCAAAATACTATATACATCCAGAAAACAGTTTTCCTTTTCATCTTAAAGATGTAATCAGACTTCGTAAATATGTTGTCAATCTCAAAAAATACTTTCTGAAAGGACAGACTTTTGAACGTAAGGAAAGCACCTTTCACCTTAAAAGAGATTGTGTTCAATTGTATTGTCACCTGGCAAGTTCTGGTTTATTCAAAGCGCAACTAAGTTACCTCATTACTAAATCGTTAGAGTTCAATAATTTAATTCAGCCGCTAAAAGAGCAAACTTTTCAAAAATAACTTTTGCTTCGAAAAGTTTCATATCAATTCAAGAGTAAGATTACTTACACATAAATAAAAAAGTGATGTGAAAAGTGCGCCTTCAGGAGAATTTCAAACAACTACCAGACTGTCGCCTACTGCTTTGCTTTATCCAAAATAAAAAAACCCAACAAATTTTTTTCGAAAGTTTTTTAATACCCTGGACTTTTTTTTTCTAATTTTTTGTAATTTTTAATTCCTTTTTTCAAATTTTTTTTCGCAATTTTTCACTTTCTCAAACCTCTTTTTGCACTTGTAAAGTGGCTTTGATTTTTCGTTAAAAGCCATTAGGTGGTTTTTTCCTTTACATGGTTTATAAAAAAAAGTACCATGTGTTGTGAATAGAGAGAGAGAAAAGAGTTGCTCTTAATAAATGGTGGAAAAGCACCTTAGCAATTTTGTTAAATGAGAATAAATGAATAAAAGCACCGAAAAACATCATAGAAGTTATTAGAAGCTAAATTAAAAGCCACTAAGATGTTTAAACATTTTTAATCAGTTTATGGAATTAGGTACAGCTGCTTTCAGCCGTCCTTTGTAATTCAAGTTACGCACAGCTGGAATCACATGCGCCTTAACTTATGTACATTTAACCATTCTAATAATGCATTTCGAGTAAAAGTTCTTTCTTATTTCCTCACTAATGAGTAGGATGCCTGTCCGCTAGCTGTAATTCCTAGGTCTTTAACTCCATTGTGTCTCCACCATAATTTTGCTAAGTCTGCAATTTATTGATATTGTTCAATTTCATCCTCCATTGATTCTACCCAATTGATACTACTGCTTATGGCACCGTCCCTTCAGCAGAAGTAAAATAGCTCTGAACAGGGAAGTTATATTCTACCAGCACTCTATCACTACCATTTCAGTATTTAAGGTGGTAATCGATGATTGCAATGTAACGGGTCAAAACTCGTACTAGTCTGAATGTCGTTTTTCATTTGAAATGCTTCGTTATTTTTTAAATTACCAATCTTCTAGATCGATTTCATAGACAGGTTCAGCACGACAATCCCGGGTACGTTCTTTCAAATGTGCCTTTATCAATCATATTGTGTAGGATTAACCAAGACATTTATTCCACAAAAGGCTTGAACAATACTGTCGTTGTATTTGCAAATTAGAGCAATGTTCAATATGCGTTAGTGATCCAATAGGAAAATTACCGCTATTCCCCATAGCTGCCTTCATTCTCTTTTTGTGGTTAACACAACCTCAAAATTCCGATTATACTCCGATTATGTACTTTATTTTGAAATTCAAAAGTTTCTTTAGAATATTATGTATGCACATGGAAATGGATTTATATGGTTATCAACACTCAAGGAAGAACTGATTACAAAACCGAGATTTTTTGTTATTATTCTAAACCGACTCTAGTTTACGAATTACAAAAAAAAAATATTTTAGCGATTATTATATTATTATATCATATTACTATTTTAGGCAGGGGAAGAAGGATTGCTTGGTAATATAAGTGTAGCTGCTGCGTGTCATAGTAGCCTCCCTGTTTTAGCAATTTCCGCAACACACGTTTTTCCCCGCTTTCCGACAATTCGCGAAAAAAGTTGAAGAAAACCTAGTAAAGAGTTCATTTGTGGATTGACGAATCTTATCAAATGAGGAAATGTTAATCAGCAGATCGAAGAGATCTTTTACAATATTTTGCATTTTATGATTTTGAAAATATTGCGCTGATTCGACGCGTGGAAGTCGCCAAGTGAAAATATGTAGACCTGATTTTCGCCTTTTATTTTATCTTTTGTTGCATATAGCGACCCACTAACGATTGACTGAAAAATCGGCACTCTTTAATCGATCCAGAATCGCTGATTAAGTTTACAAACGTCTATTCCCCCTTCTCTACGCAAAATCGTTTCTAACAATCATCCTGCGATCGTGATAGTACATCAGGCAGAAAGGATAATACCATTTTTAATATATTTATATAACTTGCGATGCATATTCCTAGAGTGCAAATGCCAAATGCAAAAATAAATTTCATTTGGTGCTTAGAACTTATCTTGAAATACAAAGATCTCCGAATTATATTATCGTCGGCAAAATTCTTTGCGGGTTTCTCATTCTCCCTACATTAGTTAATGTTGCATCCAATATTATGTAATTAATACCATTTTTAACTTTAGAGTGTTGTGCTCGAAGGGAAATATTGGAAACGTCAAATGGTTGTGATAAAGGCCGAATATCGAAAATGGAGAAGAAATTTTAAATCAAAAGTTACTGGATCTTTAAAATATGACACGGTAAAAAAAGAAAAATTTAATGCAAAACCCGATTTCTTTTTGTTTTATTCCATGTTTTTCTTTTCTTTCTTAGAAAAGTGAACTTGATTTCTTGGAATGGTCTCCTTTAAATGACAAAAATTTAATGATATCTGAGGACTGGACCTCTGATACATTGTTTTCAGCAATTAATGTTCCATTTCCCTTTCCTGATTCCAGAGAAATTGGTAATAGCGTCTCTTAATTATTATTTCCTTTATTGACTCATGAACGTTATTTTGTCTACAGCACGAGGTGCTGGTATTGCCGACTTTATACAACCCAGTCTCGGACCACTACAACCAAATTTAGATGATATAGAAGATATAACGGTTGTTGGTAAGTGAAGTTTTTTAAAAAAAAAAAAGCTTTTATCTTATATGCACGCATTGTGCGGAACAATTTTTATAGAACTATTACAAAATTCCCGCTTGGCTCCAGTTCCCGAGGAAGGCTCCGAAGAAATGCTGAAAAATGTAGATTATGGATTCTCCGATATTATGGGTAAGTAGGTAGGGAAGCAGAGTATTTGTTAGTTTGAATCGGTAAATGTCACTCATTTCCGGAGCGCTAATAATAGCATTCCTTTTCCAAACTCTGAACAAATAGGTTCCAACACCCTAATGGATGTTTCGACGCCAAATGTAGTTACGTCGTTGCCAAGTGCTACTGAAGATGCTAATATGCTTGAACTTAACACTCCGTTAAGTACACTGCAATTTACTGAGATGTTGAATGAAGCTAATCAACCAAACACGCATTCAAGTACAATCGCTGAGGATACTATTATGGAAGAGCCAACGTTACAAAATTCAAGTAATGTGATAATGCTGTCCCATACAAACCCGGTGTCTACAAATCGAAATTTAGCTAAACTTTATGTTGGTGCGCTTGAAAATCATAATAGTAGTACCAGCGCAAACAGTAATGCAGTGGTACGTCAAAGTGGAAATGACTTTCCAGTAAAAAAAGGACGAATATCTAAGAACTCACAAAGGCCATTTAGGTAAATATTTACCAAAAATTTGGAAAATCGTTGAACTGCATTTAAAGCAATTGCTTTTTTTTTCTTTTTTATAATTCTGAGACGAGAACCGCACAATTACGATAAAGCACAGCCTACTTTACATCAGACTACAATATATCAGCAAATGTTGGCTGAACAGCAAAAAGCGCACCAAGTGCAACATCAGCAACAGCTTCAGCGACAACAACAGTTGCAATCCTCAAATGCAGTGGTGGCTACTTTACAACATCCAAATAATGTTTTTCCAACCACACCCCAACAACAGCAACATTTTTCTGGCCAATTACCGTTCGTTAGCAATGCATCAATGTTAAACAACAGTTCGACCCATCAATTCGCTGGTAATGTTTCCGAAAATATTTTGAGAATTGTAAACAATACGAATGTTACAAGAGACTTTGCGGGCATAATGCCGCCAAGCGCTAACGGTGGTACGTCATCGGCTATGAGCAATCCTGATACATTTAATGTAAGAACAGAAATACCTTCATCTGAAGTGCTTTCGATGTTTAATCTTAGCACAGGCGACGTAGGCGACGGATACGGTACCAATTCGAACACTGATGTTAATTCATATAAACCGTCCAACACGCACTTGGGTACTTTTAAAAAGTCTGCCTCAACTGGCGCTTACATTAACGTATGTGCTAACAATAGCGGCCTGCAGCAAATGTACTTTCAGCAAGATGGGGGAATTCAAGTAGAACAAACAGGACAAATGTCTACTGTACCACAATCATTACCCCCGCAAATTGGCACTCATTTGGCCGGTCTGGCGAGTGCTATTCAGCCGCGCCTCGTATCGCACGTATCACCTACAAGCATTTCTTCTAGTCAGCGAACTTTATCTTTGAAATTGAATATGTCTCCTCAATCATCGCAAATTAATAATACACCAGTCGTGCCTGTACAGACTCATTTGCAGACGCAACAAATTGGTCAAGCAGTAATGAGCAATACGATGCCAAAAGAGATGTACCGTTCGAATAGTTTGCCCTTAAATAGCTCTATGCAAAAATTGGAAGCGTGTCAAACGTCAAACGAACATTTTGTGGTTCCCAAGTACCAAGCAGCACCTAAAAGCGTTAAATCTCGTATGCGTAGTAACTCCATCCATCATCACTTAAGTCAAACGCCGAGCAACACAAACCTATCGGCGGCAGACAGCATGAGCGATGATACAGGTAACTTGAACGTTAACACGCAACTACACACTGCCACCAGTGATCCCATGCTGAATAGCACCTTAGCTCAGCTCTTAAGTGCAAGTAAGATAAGAAAGATTTCGCATTTCGCAGATGTATTTTATTATACGTTTTTCTTAAAGATTCTCAAATGTCATGTTCGGGCCGACCACGAAATGCCTCCATAAGTTCCAATTCTTTGGCAAATACTCCTGTGTCTGCGTTGCATAGTGCGCAGAACAAAACATCTCCAATGAATGGTTCGGCAGTAACCAGCACGTGTATGGCTGCTGCGCAACGCAGCATTTCGCCCCCACCTTCTCCGGGAGTTTCTGCTCTAACAGGAGACATTAACTCGCCGTCAATGGATAGAGATTTACTGCCACGTCAAACCCTCAAACATTGCGGGCAAACTCAACAACAGCAACCTCTCCATAAAGCACCAAAGAAATCCAGTTCATTGCCTACGCAAATTACGGCGTCATTACTAAATAATCCATCTGCTCCTAAAGTAAACATTAGCTACTTTAGTTATTAACTGTTTACAATAATTACTTTTCTGTAGATGTTAAGCTATCCCCTGAGTGCCGGTCCGCAACATCATCAAAGTTTGTCACCCGAATCTTATCTTGAAACAGAGTCTCAGCTTTCTCCAACACACATTGTTAAATATCCACGCGATAGCCAGCGACGTGCGGGGCACATACATGCCGAACAAAAGCGACGTTACAACATTAAATATAGTTTTGATCAATTGCATGATTTGATACCACAACTGCAACAGAATAGTGCAAAGGTTTTTACAAACTTTGATTTTAAATGCTTTTAGAATTTGTAGATAATTCATGATTTCATGTTACGCAGTTGAGCAAAGCCGCAATGTTGCAAAAGGGTGCAGAGCACATCAAACATTTACGTAACGAACGTGATGCGCTTAAAGATCGAATGGAGGCTTTGCGTATGGAAAGAGATGCTCTTAATAATTCATTAACGTAGGTAGAATAAAATTTCTTTGTCAGTCGCGTTAATTGGTCATTAAAATTTCCTATTTGTGGAAACACTTTTCATTTACGTTTAATTTTCAGACATCTTCATTCAATTTTACCAGCTAATGGAGCCCCAGTTACCCGGCAAGGCACTGAACGTGTACGACAATTGTACGAGCAATATATACGGTTTCGCACAATGGAAAACTGGAAATTTTGGATTGTAAGTCATGCGTGCCTTAAGTTACAAATTGTCTTAAGGCCATGATCTAGGCAAACATATATTCAAATTTTTAAATACGGGAATTTCAAATTCATTATTTATATGCGGGTGTTAAAGAAATGCTGTGGTAGCAATTTTGGAAAGCTCTACCGCATAAGTGTTGAACTTTTTGAAGTGTTTAACACATAAATTGTTGTATTTTATTTTTTGCATTAAACTACAGCTTGGTCTTATTGTGGAACCTCTGTTGTCATCTTATACGACAACTGTATCGAGTGCCAGCTTGGATGAATTAAGGCGAACGGCTTTCCTCTGGGTGGATCAGCATTGTTCGTTAATCGATTTAAGGCCAGGTAAATGTAAAAAATTTAAAAAGATAATATAATTTATTGATCACAAAAGTGTAAAATAAACCAGCAGCCCAGTCGAAAAGAAAATTTTTCATAGCAATATCGCATATAACTGACGGAATAATCACTAAATCTCCTTCTTAAGGTATTTTTCATTTCATTTCAATTGATTTAAATACACTTGCGTCAACGGGGGTTGAATGCCGTTAAAAACAGTTATTTTTGAACACTATAAGTCAATACCAGAAGTTGGTATAGATAACTCTCGATTTATTTTGAAAGCAAATTTATATAAGTGATGCATTTGCATTTCAATTACTGGAACATCAAATGGGACGAAAATAATTGCTACGTGAGATGTCTGAAAACAATTGAAGCCTTCACACACCAAAATTGCTGGCAGCTGTACAGTTATTCAAAAGTTACGTTACGAAGAATTCATTGCGTAGTTATTAATATCCAAAATAGTCCCGTTCTCTTAATTTAAGAGCCATATTCAATACTGTCGTAACTATTTTAAATATATTGCTCACTTTTTCGAAAAGATAAACCCACTAGCGTCAATTAATCGCTATTAAATAACACAATACCGTCGTACATACATATATATATAATGTATGTTAAGTTAATTTCTTTTGTTTGCGAATTTTACAGCGATCTCCAATAAACTAAAATATCTGATGACGAAAACCGAAATTCTATCTGATCCACCATCTACATTACAAGAAGAAGTTGCCAAAGCTGTTAATAACACCATAGGTCAGCATCCGAATTTGCACGGCACATGAATGCTTGCGTAAAAGACGTCTTCGTGTACATACATATACGCATGCGTAGATATTTGCTCAAATTCTTATAAAATTTGTTTGTCTACGAATATGATAACGATTCTATACGTATTTCTTATTTTTCTTACCCTTAGTTTTTAAAATACTTTTCAAACATTTTCAAATGGAAAAAAAATTGTACAAATCGTTTATTTTTGTAATTCATAAAGTGTGTATGTGTGTGTGAGTCAGTGTATATGTTTATGTACGTTTTTAGGTGGAAATATGATAATCGTAAAAACAATGTGCCTACAAATTGTATATTTTAAGTTCATAGTAAAAAATAAATTTTTTAAATTTACAATTTTTAACAAGGAAAAAAAAAAAAGAAAAGAACAAGCTTATTTTCTGTAGTTTTCATTTCCCTCTTCTGCTTTCAACTTACAAATGTTGGATGTGCATTTTTTTTTTTTTTTAGTAATTAATTATATATAAACTTTAAAGCTATTACTTATAATTTCTCTTAACATCGCCATGTGGTATAAAAGAAAATATTAGTAGTTTTGATATTTCAAGGCAGATTTTTCGTTTTAAATTAGTTGATGACAACATTTCCACAACCTTTATTTTTGTGAAAAAGTGTGATCGAAAAATATTTTTTAAAATTGATTTTTTAAAAGCTATTGGCGAACAATACAACACCGTCCCAATGCCACAATCAACCCGTTCCTCAGAGAGGATTCACCTGGAATTGTACAATTTGATATCAAAACATCTTATTTGTACTTCTAAAACTGAAAATCACAAAGGTATAGAGTATCAAAAGGATACAATTAAATTATTTGGTAAAATTTGTTTTTAAATTAATTCAATTTCATTGAGAACAGATCAACTAAAGTACTCGAATCTCTTATGCGTGGATTAACTTCCATTTCGCAAGTTACTTTTCAATAATAAGAAATTTTGTTAAGATCTAGAAAGTTTTTCTGCTTCACAAAATATAATAAAATGAAAAGGCAAACCGTGTTCATGGATCAAACCAAAAGTGAACTATGTCTAAAAATAATTAAAAAAAGAAAAATCGCTTCTTTAAAATGAAAGTTTATAAAATATTTTCTTCTGATTTGCTTTTCTTGAAAATTGAATTAACAACATTAATAAATAACCGTAAGCGGTTTATGGGATTGTGTAAGTCGTCATCTCTTTACTGTCATTATTATTTTGTACATTCAGCCATGTGGACAACAACTTATACATGTTAAAAGAATATATTATTCTTTTTGCAAGTGCAATTCGTTTACTGTCAAAATTGTTTTATGTGTATGTGTGTGGGTTTTACGTACAAGCAAGTGTGTTAATGGTTAAAAGTTGAAGATTGGTCCAGATGTTAACATATAAACAATTACGTCATTTTTTTAGCCCACTTAAGGTCATCATCTCGTGGTTTTAATCCTGTCATATATTCAATAAGGCACTCTAACGTTGACCAAAATCTGTAAGAAAGCAAAGAGAATTAATTAATGGTTATATTAAGAAATTGCGTTTTTGATTGTAACCGATTTTTCTATTTCTTTTCATAAAACAATGCAACTTGTAATAAAGTATATTCCTATATACTTTCCTTCAAGACGATATTAATAAAATCCCTTTTTTCATAATCGACAAAGTTTCCTTAAAGACTGACAAGGTATATTCTGTCAAAATTGTCTCGCATTTAAGGAATCATCCATTTTAACTCCTCACAATGTCATTGGTATATCCTTCCGGCTGAACTTGTGAAACGTTTGGCGAATCAAAACATTGTTGATATGAAATGGATGATAACTATAATGGGAAATATCAAAACAATAACCGAAGTGTTGCAGCGCCTGCTCCTACAGTTTTCATCTCTTTACGAACTGGTTAAGAGCCTTAAGAATTTTCAAATATGGACTTCTTTAAATAGATTAAAAATCATTTCGATAGTATCGTTAATAAATAATTGGCATTTGTGGTATAAAAATTAATAATAGTTTCTCTTGTCTAAGTTTGCGTTGGCCAATTGTGTCTTCGAAATGTCAATATGCACAAAATACGGCAATCCTTGTGAAGGTCTTTCTGGTACGCTTGATTTCAGTCGACAATTGACGCGGGAATCGTGTTTCACAGATTGAATTTCGGGCGGCTCGCAAATTCCAACGGCAGTTAATAAATTGTCCAATAATTATCCGGGGGCATCTGTCAGACAGCAACTTGAGCAACCATTTTGTGCGCTTTTTAATTTGATATAGACATTAAATGATAATAATTCGCGCGTTACGTAAATGAAGTAAACACTGTTCTTCGGGAAATAGCTTTTTTTATGCTAACGGCGCTGCGCACGCCTTTGTCATTCAACCCATTTATTTCGGCGTGGGTTCAATTAACGTTCGGGCACGTGGAATTGCGATTATACTGTTAATGTTGACGCGAATCGTTATGCATATCTGAGCTTCTATCAAATGAATTAACGCTTAAAACTCACATTGATTGCAAACTAACTTTATTTCCTATAAATAACTATCAATAGTCGAGGAGTGTCAACAGGTCGTGCAAACATCATAACCACACATTTTAAAATCGGAAAGAATATGCTGATAGTGTGTTATGGTAAATGATCATAGGCTTATGGCTATACTTTAATGGAATGATTAGAATTGTGGAGAAAGTATTTCACAAAATGCGAAACAAACTAAAATATGTAATGAAAGAAATGCATTCAATTACGTAAGTGTTTTAATGCATAGCAGCTTTTATGTAAATATCATTATTCATTTTCATATCGTTATTTCGTCGATGATTAAAGCATCTTCCTTAGAGGTTTTACCTGAATTTTTCCAATGGCCAATTCAACCAGCCCGTTGTAATGCAAAAATATGTTTCATGCGGTGCAACGTGATGAATGCGATGATGTTTGCGGGGCAAAATGATATGGTAACTTTGCAGCAAAAGCACCCATTTCGGTAAGCCCCAGTAAGTATGTGACCATTTATGAATCTGTAAGAAAAAACTCTTTAAATCAATCGCAATATTTTTTTTTTTCAAATAACAAAAAGCAACTTACCTGGTTGGTCATTGCCACAAATATTGAGAGTAAGAATAAATATGAAATCCATCCAAAGTCTTGTTGTATGTCGCTATACGATTTTGTATTAAAATTATAGGCCAGAAAACCTAACATCGGTATACTGACCATAAAATTATCACCGTTTGTTTCAATGAAATCATGACGCGTTATTGAAGTTGGATCCAAATGATGTTCACGAAATGGGCGTAAAAAATGCTTCAAATGAAAGGTGAACCGAGTAACAACTTATCTCAAAAGACTATGAAAAAAACATTTTGCTGAAATAGCTTACCTTCCCTAAAACGGGCAAGTCTATTGAGCCCCACGTATCAGCAGCCCAATGAGCGAGACCGGAACCAAAATCCGCCGTTATGATACCAAAAAATGCTGACACAAAAGTGACGCATATTCGATCGAAACGTAAATGTTTCAAAATTAAAATAAAGTCAATAATCATTAATGCAATGCAGGTGTAAACACAAATTAATTCCTGAGCACGTTTTCCTGTAAGTACAATAAATAGAGAAATAAATAAATAAATAAATAAATATATAAAAATATTGATATAAATATATACCGGGGCTATAAAGATTCGCGAGTTCTTGAGCACCTTTATTCTGGGGACCCCAACGGGGAGCCGTTTTCTCTATAAAACCCGGTTGTAATGATGAATTACAGTTCGGATCATCTTCATGCATTGAATTTTCCAAAATTTCCCGATCACTCTTCAAGGGCATCTAATAAAAATAAGTAAACATTATAACTAATACATTGTCATAAGAGATTAATAAATTTCAAATTGTTTACGGCATTGAATGTCAAATATATTAATGGTAAAGGTTCTGACGCCGATTACTTCACTTCTCTGTCCACATTTGTTAAGACATTGGAATGCATGCCGCCAGACAGTTCTAATAGCTAGTATAAAATACGAAATTAACTCAAAATGATATTCGCTTGCATAAATTGAAGCTGACATTTTTTTAAACATAAATTATAAATATTTTCTGCTACTTATATTTATCCTCAGAAGGGAGCATTACTAAACTAACCATATCATGTAAAGCAATTAAAACCGTGTGAGTCGTCCAAGGCTGACCCTTAACTCGAACTTTCGACCCTAATCGAACTTTCCAATTATTTTTGTGATAAAATTCCAAACATTACATTTTACTTTCTCCATTAAATACTCACAGAAAACCTACTACTTTTGAAAATCATGTGTGCAGTACAATGAAATTTTATATCAAATTACTATTAATCACAAATTCTAATAATGTGATAACTTATTTCCCATGAAAACACTTGTATGGGCTGAAATCCAAAAATCGTGGTCTAAGACTAAATTTTGTCCAGTTCCTTTTTACCCCAAATGATTATCAAGAGTCAGAACTCATTATCGTATAAGTATGTCTATAAGTAAGCAAAGAAGTATAATTTTAAATGTTTTATAATGAAAAGTGATCTTTTGACATACAAAGTCGTCATTTGACATACAAATTGCCTATACCAAAATTGGGCTGCTTGTATCTATTTTTTTGGAATTCACCATAATGAACGGTAAGCCCTTATATCTTAGCAATATCTAATTTTTGGGATTTTAAAGAAACTGGATGAACAATTTTAAGGCTTCTGATAAGAGAATTCTTTTGCTGTATTTAGGCCGAGTGAATTCATGTGTTGATTCCTCGTCTACATGAAGGCTCTTGTAACAAGTTTTCCGGTACCTGGGAACAAGGTGTAATTTTTGATATGTTGTCATGAAAATAAAAAAGAAAGAGTACTGGATTAAGGCTATCGGTAAGGCAGCCAGTCTTACCGAGCAATAATGTTTTTACTTGTTTTTATACTGCATAATAATTATAATTTTAATTACTTTTATGCATAAATTATAAAACTTCTTATAATTATTATAATTACTCTTGTGCATAATTTAAAAGTTATTTACAATTATTATATTTAAACGCTATATTTTGCGTGAGCGTACTCTCTTTAGATTTTACGCGCTGATAAGGCACTGAATTTTATATGGCTGAAAGAAGATCCTCATCCAAAGTTTCAATGTTAATGTAAGCAAAGCGATACGACAAATGTTGAGACTCTCCCTTCTTCTTTTTCTTCTTGTTTTTTTAGATGAAATCTTGAGGTTGCAATTGTGGTTTATATAGATGGACGGCGCATTGAGAGATTAATTCAATAAATTTCCACTGCACATTTCTATACTTTATAAACATTGTCATCTGTAATACATTTTTTTGTAGGCATAAATAAACAAATCGTAGCAAATAGAAGCGGGGTGAAAAATGGGTTGGAGGGGACACTTACAGCGTTTTAATGTTCGAGGTATATAAGTCGTTTTACAAGGCAAACTAGGTTGCAAATATTGCAAACATGATTCTTGATACCCTTTTGATGGAACGAAAAATAGTTAAAACGTTGCCTAATTTTGTGGGTCAGTTAAAATAACTACTTTTACCGTAAATATATTTAGTTACGAGCGATCGTCAACGTATTTTTATATTAATAGAATGCAAGGATATGGTGCAAAACTGTACAAGTTTTTAAAGGGACACGTTTCAAATGTAAGTTTTGTACATATTTGCTTTTCGAAAAAATAAGTATACGGGCATACAAATATACACATAACAAGCGCGTGCATTAAGAATTTTTAAGCATTTGTTAAACATACATATTGTGAAACATATATATATATATATTTTGAATATGTACAAGTATAATTGCATTTACGGCACTTGTTTGTTCACACACTTTTAAGCGGACTAGTTTTACCAAACGTTCATAAGCGTAGTACTCGCTTTGGTAATATTTAGCCTTAACACGTATATTTCCTTAGAATTAAGCCTATGACAACAAACCTTATTATTGAAAGCCACTTTCCACACAAATGCATAACATACACATAAACAAACAAGTAAAACATTCAATTACAACTTCGCAAAAAAAAAAAAAACACTTCACATTAGATATAAAAACCAAACGTGTTCTAAGACCTTAAACTTAACTCCTCTATAGGACGGACATATACACAAAGAGTGTGTTTTACGGGGTGTTCGCATTACTACCGGCAATGAGTAACAAGACATTTCTTGACGACATCAAAGACTGGAGAAAGGTAAAAAATTGTCACTTGGAAAACACTTGAAAAACTTCCTTAATAGAAATAAATATTTCTAATGCCAATGGTTATGATAATATTAGCTTGGCGTCATTGTAATAATTTTTGTATAAACTGAAAAAATTACTTATTATTAGCAGATAATGAATATTAAACAGATTAATTTGAATATTTTTTTGTTGTTCCATACATGCCAATTACCTTTTTATCATAGCTCAATTAAACGAGAAAACTCCCTTTCATTCTCAAACAATTCAGTGTAATCACATATGACGTGAAAGATTAATTGGTGCTTTGAAGTTGTTAAGATCCACAAACCACCACAAACACCATCGCAATTTAAAATCGTGAAAAACGTAAAAAAAAAAATTTCTGCTTGAAACCAGTGCCCGTTATATTTGACTTACTTAATTTAGTTGATCACTCGCTAAAATTCACTCACCTTTAAAAATTTGAAGGCGGCAAGGCGTGACAACCGTTAGACGGCACCAATGTGCGCGTGTATGCGTGTGTGACAGATTTTAATTCATGAGTAATTATTTCAAGTGAACCGTGAACTATAGTTTTATTGTAGCTTCCATTAAAGTTTCTTTCTCTCTACTTTTTTTTTTTTATTTTTTTGGTTATTGATTAAAATTAATACGAAATGAAATTTATGGAAAAATTAACTTTCTAAACTTATTCTAAGGGATAATTTTTTCTTTGTTCTCTCTCTTCTTTCTCTACGCTTTTAATTATTCAAAGAATTGACTTTGTTAATCAATTAATGGCAAAAGCCTTTTTAAGCCAACACAATATACACGTGATTTAATGTTCAATAATTGGTGGTGTGTGTCCTTTTTTTTCACAAAGGCTCCATAAATGCTACTAATTTCGAATATTAGCCGTAACTATTCGTATGAATTCTTACTTCACTTACTATTTGCGTGCCGCCCCGCACCATGGCAAATGAAGGAAAGCTTTTAACACTTTCTCTCTTCATGTGTTTTCACTTCTTGCACGTTTTTAACACTTTATTTTACAAGACATATAAGAAAAGCTTTTTCCTTGACTTCTGTTTACGTTTAAATTATTTTTTAATTTTCATTCAACTTTCATATTTATAGGCATTCAAATGCAAATAAGTTTGACACTTTTAAACCCACCACATTTGTGTTGAATTTTCCGTTTTCTAAGTTTCGCATTTTATTTTATTTTAACTTTCACTTAATCTTTTGCTTTTCACGAAATATATTCAGATATAATGCTTTTGGGTCTTTAATATATCACATTTCACATAAACCGAACACTGACCGTCCGATTTTTGAGTTTGTGCAATTGTTTCACGTATTTGAATTCCACTCTGCTAAAGACGAAACACTTGTGGAGAGTAAATAACTGCAATCAATATTATTTGCAATTTTTTATAGACGAACTCTTATATAACTTAATTTATTTACAATATCAGCATCGTTCGTAATTGATTTCGATGGCAGGATGGCACGTTTTCTCCCCACGCGAAGTCATCCGAAGTTGTATGTAAATTCACTTATAAGAGATGTGAACGGCGAGTGGACTTTTCATTTTAATATAAGAAAATGTTACTAAGAACCTATACAGGATTTTTATGTAAATCTCGACGTTTTATGGCCAGTGAAGAGACCAGCGTAAAAATTTGCTTCTATCAAATAATCGATACGCCTAATTGTAATTTATTGATTTGAGGTCAGCAAAAAATTCGGCAAGGGAGAATATGATTTTGTCACTTATTTGTAAATAATCAAGTTCCGCAGACATAACTGCACATAAAACGGCAAAAGTGCAAATAGATAGAAAGTTTGACAACTGTGACCAATGACAATCACTATCATTTTATTCCGACATTTTTAATAACAGGAAAACAAAAGAGGCACTTCAAAAAAAAATTACCTGAAACGTATTAGCATCAGAAGCCAATACCTAAAACTAAGTATAAAAGTTTACCGAAACTTTTGCGTTTATTGTATTCTTTCTTACATTGTTTGTGGAAGGTATTTTGATCATAATTCATGCAAGTGTGATTATGAGAGGGTTGTGGAAGGTATTAGTGTGGTTGTGACATGTTTGTCGAAGGTATTTTGATCATAATTCGTGCAAGTGTAGTTATGACAGGTTTGTGTGCGTAACTTCACGTCGCCAATCTCCCAGTGCTGACATGAAAGTATACAGTAAAAGTTTATAAACCTAAAAGTGAAGAAATAAAAACAATAAGAGGAATTATAAAAAGTGATTATTTATGTTTCATTTGACCCTTCTTCCAAACATGGCGGGCAAATAGTTCCTTGTACAATTATAGTGTGTGCGGAAATTGCGTACAAAAACATAGTACATCGTATTAAGAAATTAATCCTAGTTGCACCAGGCAGATTAACTTTGTTTCCCATATCACTTCATAATCTATTAACTGGTGTTAAAAATTATAGTCAGGAGAAGAAGTCAGAAATGTACAAACGAACCCTCCACTTTCTTTCCACATTCTGAGTAAGCGTACTCCTTGTATTAGTACCATGTAATATTTCGGTCAAAGGCGTTGTCATGTAAACATTCCGTTCCCAAAAACATAATTGCCGAAGGAACCATGCCGTTACATAAAATATATTTGATGGGAATGTTAACGTCGTAGCTGAAGATAGCTCGCGAAGAGGACACGCTTAATAGCGGTCAGGTACTCATCAAAGCTGTAGAGTTTAGCCATTTGCAGAGTTTGGCAACGTCTGCTTGCCATCTGACGGACGCGATCTAAGATGGGAGTCTCGATTTCGTGCTGAAAATCAGTATGTTTTTCCATAAACTGTCAAAGACGTTGCTGCAAAAGAACAAAAATGATATATGAACTTAAAAAGGAAATCTATGCGCTGGCCCGATGAAAGCTTCCGTGTCCCTAACGGAGATCTGTATTTCATTTTTGAAATTTTAATTTAATGTCCACCGATACACACATTATATTACACACATAATTACGTAATAGAGACTATCTTTTACTACCCTGGTTTTCTGAAGTGGTTTAAGTTTGTTTGTCTGTCTATGTGTTTTCCAGACGTTGTGCGTCTTTCAGATGTATTACATGAATAGGAACCTTTACATGGGTATAAAATCTAATTTTGACCAGTTTATGATAGAAATAGAAGAAGAATAATAGGACCTATGATTGCTTCCGTATAAGGGCTTCTACTAAGAAATATGCAATGAAAAGAACGTCAGATATAATGTTTAGTATTCTGTCCCGAAAGCACAAGAATATCTAGTCAAATTCGTATAGGGTATCTAATAATAAGTTTTCCACGATTATAAAGTTTTTAGTTGTTTTTACGTTACGTGTTCTTTATCTAACCTTTTATAAATTGCTTGCGTACATTTGTTTTGATTTCCTGGTTTTTTTTTTTTCAAAACATATGTTGCATCTTTTACACCGATTTACTTCTTTTCATTAGCCGATATGGTAAGACAAGCAACCGTGCGGTTTCTATGCGTTAACTAGTTGTTATTCAATATATCTTTTATATGCGTAGATTGCGTTGTGTCCTTTTCTCTTAGGTCGTAAATAGCTATCACATGGAAACAGATCGCTAGCTTGCTTTCTCTCATCATTGGAGAAATAAAAGTACGAAAATCAAAATTGATATAACTAACCATTACATGAAAAGGTTACCCTAAGGAAATTAATGTAAAAATAAATATGTATTTCGATTGAAAAAATCGCTTGTTAATATCTATGGTTCATTTGATAAGATTTTGGCGCATCATCAAAAGTCAATTGAATATTTTAAAAGTTCAAAACAAGTCTTTAAAATAATGTTTCTTCTGATTATTACTGGAAATTTATTCACAATTAAACGTGTAGCAAATGAATTAAAATTAAAAAAGAAAAAATAATATTATATAGTGCTTGCAAGTAAGTAGTAGGGCATTTCCTTAACAATATTCAGAATACGGGTCTATGAGCCTTCATGGATGATGCAATTTCTGTAATTGTGATATTTACATAATAAAATTTTCTTTTCTTTTTTATGCGGAACACATTGTACCTTAAAGGACAAATGGTTACTACCGCAGTCATTTGAACTAAATAAGCCATGTAGAATAGTGAAGCACTCAAGGTCAATAACGTTATAGCAACAGCTTTAGATAAAGCGGCTAAACAGGAGCTACCGGAACCAGCTCCACGTGTAACGTTAACTGGCAATACCCAAAAATTAGAAAATCCATGAACTCTTGATATCAATTAATTAACTACTGTCCAGTGAATTTAACAGAGTATATACGAGGTGCGTTAAAAAGGTAGATAAATGACTATATGTTTTTCTCAAAAAATATTTATTGATTTATCAATACCTATATTGTTTCTTTCACAATAATGCCCCTTAGATACGTTATATCCTTTCGCTTTTCATTCACACTTGACACAACACGTTATCTCCGCAAACGGCAGCTGGATAATTTTTGTGTTTACCGGTGTTAGTGAAAAAAAAGGAAAAAAAAAAAAATTAAAGAGATTTTAAATATTTGAAAAAAGGAAAAGAGTAATAAATAAAGTAATAAAATAACCAAAGAAAACAATTTTAAAGAAGGAAAAGGAGGGAAGGAGGAGGAATCTCTCGTGAGAGAAAAATTAAGAAGCAATACATATATTTAATTATTATTTTTTGCTTTTTCTTTGTGATTTTTTCTTTTTGTGCTCCCTGTGATAACAACCAAAACAACGTCAGCCCGTCTCCCTATGGAGACTGGGTCTGATCTTATAACTACTAATAGAGACTGTTTTGAAAACTTTTACATGAACGCCACTGGGCACACCAAGAGATCGAAAATGGGTGAGAATAATATTCTTTTATCCGATAACGGAGAAGCTAACGCAAACGTTTTAATTCCGCCTAGTAAACAGGCTACCGACAAGCCCTCTGATTTGGGTGCCACAGCCGCCCCAAATCTCGAGATCAATTTGTACGATTGCTTTTCCAACTGCAATTTTGTCGTTTTTGTCGAAACGTGCGCGGACGCTGAAGGAAATCGCATTAATATTAACTCCAATCTCTATTTCTATGATTACTTGAAGGATTTCGGTATGTACGGCTTAAAAGAATTAAAAGTTGTCAGCAGGGGTAGAGCCAAACTGCTTTTCAGCTCCGCTGCCAATGCCAACAATTTTGTTATGAATAATGAATTTAATAAAAAGAATTTAAAGCGTACATACCGAGGTCGTTCACTGAGAGATTTGGAGTTATTCGAAACATCCCATGCACATATAGTGTCGATGATATAATTAAAAACGCTGTAGCCGATATTCCGATTAAGTCCGCTGTCCGTTTCCAAAGAAGAAATCCCAACAACAAAGACGAGTGGATTCCCACAACCAGCATCAAAGTTGGGTTCAAAGGGAGAGCCCTCCCTAAGGCAATAAAATTTAACTATTGTAATCTGCCGGTCGAATACTTTGTACCCACTTTAAAGCAGTGCTTTAAGTGTGGCAGATACGGTCACGTATCTAAATTCTGCAAAGCTAAAGAGACGAGGTGCCTTAACTGTGGAAAGTCTCCGAAGTGTGTAAATTGTGAGGCGATGAAGTGCTTGTCCTGTGGCTCAGGTGAGCACAACGATCTCAATAAGTGTTGCCCTAATAGGGAAATTGAATCAAACATCAACAGGATAATGGCGATTAAAAATCTTTCGTATAAAGAGGTCAAAGAGAATTTTTCCGAAAATTATTTCGAATGTCTCGATGACAACACTTATGACGGCAATTTCCCTCCACTGGGGAACACGTCTGCAATTTCGACCAAGGATGATAATCAAAATGCCA